TAATTGCATTGGCATAAGATTCAAGTTCGGGGTATGATCGCCATGGATCAAGGCCAAGGACCCAGGAGTTTTACGGAGTACCTTTGTGACTAAATGCAATAACTTCACATCTTCAATAATGAAATATGAAATAGCTAAGAGAAGGCATTCGCTAAAGAAAGTGAAAGACGCCATTAGAGACTAAGAAAAGAGCCCGATAAGAGGTGATCACCATGGAAGGCGATGCAAGATTCCATACTCATGTCATACTTTGCACAACATTATCCAACAGCTGTTGAGGTGGTAATTTATCCCATTCCTCTGTCGGTGCACGGAGAGGATGTCCTTGTTTACTGGAGCGCATTGTCGACCAGCAAGACCTCTCCACAAACCGTCCCAAACATTTTAAGTGGGATTCATATCTGGAGAATTTGTTGTCTATACGAGGCGTTGAATATCCTCGCTCTCTAGACACGACTGTTCGATGACATGTTACGTCGTCGTCCATGAAAACAAATTTATCACTGATAGCACCACGGAACATGTGAACATGAGGCAGCAGAACATCATTAATGTATCGTTGACTAGCCATAGTTCCAGTTGCAAACACATATAAGGGCGTGCGGTCATTGATCATAGTGCGATCCACGATTATCTACATAAAACTGCTTGTCGCTTCATCTATTGACATCCTAACCCTTTTCTTTTAAACTGATATTTTATGTTTAGTCATCTACAAATGCAAACATTTCGTTCTTCAATTTGTGTACAGACTCTGATTATGATCTCCAGCTTTAAAATAACATATTTTGATCAAATTTTATAGTAAGGTAATTGCACGTTTTGTATTTTAATTTTTATGATGCGTATAAAATATTCCTGAATGTAAGTATAGGATCCGGGAAAAGTTAAAAATAAGTTATATTTCTTTAAGTTTTACAAAATTGATTTAAGTTTTGAAAATACAAAAGTAGGTAGGTAGGTTACGGAGGACTGGAACGCCTGGTGTCTAGCAAATGAAAAAGTACGAATATTCGCATTATTTGAAATATTTTTGTAACTGGACGAACAGGGCCAGACCATAGCATAGAAAAAGAAGACAAATGTCTAGAGCACGGTTTTTGGACAGCCCGGTTAAACCGTCCACTTTGGGGGGGGGGAATGTAAAAATAAAATAAAAGTTACATTTTATTTCACAAAATAAATAAAAGTTTATCTATATACTCATTTTAAATTTAATCTAAATCTACAGGTTTCCTTTTCTGTTAATATACTGATATAAGTGGTCCACTGTATATGAACAACATTTCACTGACTAGCTGATCTGTAGACAGGGCGTGACACATGATATTGGGTGCGTAATTGTATGGTACGCAGAAGTCTGGTAAAAACATTAAACATAGAAAGAGTAGAGACAAAATACTCTTTAGTAGAGAGACGATTTTTGGCTCTAAATATTAAATTTCTGGAAGTGTTTAATTAGTTGAAGTAGATTTTTATATAACAATTGTATAAATATGTTATATATAATGAATTATCGTCACGCTTCCGATGCCGTAAAATGAAAGCGTAAGAAGAAAATGCAGGAAGAAGCAAATAAACAAACCCCCCCAAAAAATGTTATGTTTAAATATGTTGTTAATACAAAAACAGATAATATTGATGCAGAAGTTCAGTTCTGAAGGAAAGGTTATAATAAAAGAAGTTGATATGAAGACTCACTAGGTTATTTTGACGCTGAAGACGTGAAAAATGAGCAATGCCCTCGCCGGAACTCGAACATGGACCTCTCGAATACGCGCCGAGTGTGCTAACGTTACACCACGAAGGCATGCAGAAGGAGGAAGAAAATACCTTACATACTCTTCCTTTTAAAAAGCGACTGGTGATTACGGGATCCAGTCTCCAAATCCTGGTGGTGGAAAATCACCATCCACCATCTTTTAGTTCGGGCGCCACTGTAGATTCATTAGGATTTTTTAAAGCAAGAAATGTGGAAAATATGCTATGTCCTCGACGTAATTACATAACACCCCAGGCTTAGGGGTCTGACAGGAAAAAATGTCTAGGGCCCTAAAATAAATTAATCCATCCTGTGGACGGATATGTCTACGACCATAATGGTTGCGAAAATAAGCACCATGCGACGCCTTTTGTGGGCATTGTGTATATAAGAGGGCAATCCCCCAAAAAAAGGTCTCCTATTTTTTGGGGACGTAAAGAAAGTTTTAATACGGTTGTTGGCAACACTGTTGTGAGTGGTGCCTTCTCCGCTACCACATAAGCACGCAGGCGCTTCGCTCGGATGCTCAGTCTTGGCTTGGCAGCCATTCGAAATGGAGCTCCCGATAAACGTTACCGCCAAGTGCGAAGTGCGCCCAGTTATTCAATTTTTGAACGCAAACGGCGTTAAACCGGTTGAAATTCACCGCCTATTGACAGAAGTGTATGGACAGTCGTGCATGGATGTCAAAAACGTTCGCAAATGGTGTAGAGAGTTTACAGCCGGTCGTACTGAAATTCATGACGAAGAAAGGAGCGGGAGGCCGTCAATTGCCGACGAGACAATCGCGAAAGTTGAGGGAGTTCCTCAACTTTCGCGATTGTTGAGTTCGTATTCGTTGAGTTTCGCGATTGTTGAGTTCATAAAATGCGTAAAGATCGGAGGATCATCTGGATGCTCCTGAAGCTCCTCAACGCTTCCTGAAGGGCATGGCGGCAAGCTGGTATGACATGGGCATTGTAAAACTGCCACAGCGTCTACAAAAATGCATCGACCGAAATGGCGATTCTGTTGAAAAATAAAGCATTCTGCAATCTTTAAAGTGATGTAGCAATTATAGAAAATAAACGGTTCCTTGTATATCTAAAAATCTAGGAGACCTTTTTTTTTTTTGGGATCAAACCAAAGAAAACACTCTAATCGGCAGCCATTGTAAGTATCCTATTATATATGCTAATAATGGAAGAAATTTCCTCTTCTCTATATATATTCTTTATAAAATGGAAATTTACTTTCTCACTGCCACAAACATATGCATATCTGCCAATCGATTAAATTTATTGCTTTTTTTTTTTTTTTTTTTTTTTTGAAAGGCTTGCGTGCCGCCATGCATGTAAATATCGGTCAAGAGTGAAAAATGAAGGATGAGTTTTATTTCTGCTTAGAAACGTAAATTTTAATATTTATTCTAATATTGTTTACGTAAGAGAAACCTTCCAAAATTTTTTTGATGAAGTATAACTTCAGAATACGTTAGTAATAAGTATGTATTTGGAGTGAAAATTATCCCTTCGTTAACTGATAAAACATTAGCATTTTTGGTAAAGCATAACAACTGCTAATAAGTAAATTATAATAATTGCATATCAAAACGTTAAAAGATAATTGCGCTGTGTTTTCCGCTTTGGTACAATTTCAACTTGTTTTTATGAAAACTAAACGTAAATGAAATGAAAATTGATATTTTATTAAAAAAAATATAGTAAAGTTTATGCAAAGGAAAAAAATGCATTCTTTCAATGAGTTGCTGAACGGTAAGATAAAAGCAGTACTAATGTATGATTTGAAATTTTTAAAATGGGAATAGCAATTGCCTCTCACTTAGTAGCACTTGAAACAGGCGATAGTGTTAAATCGCTGAAAGTGCTTTCGCTAAAATAACATCCACGACAATCAATGTTACGTTTTTTTACATTCAGTAACTGAATCTTGCACGATAAACTTACAATATCAAATTACTAAGTTAACCGTGATGAAAATCCAAAATGAAAACTATTTACAGAATGAGAGTAATAAAATTTCATTAATTCCAAAAGGATGATATTTTTGAAAGATATAGGAACGAAAAAGCATCAAATACACAAAACTATTAATATTAATTTTGCTTGAAATAAAAAGAATCATTCCGATATAAAGCAGTAGCTTTACATAAAAATGAAAGGCCAAAAGTTTTTAAGTCGATAAGCATATTTTGTATTATTTCCAGTTAAAACATTCAAGTAATTATGAAGTACTTTATAAGGCTGGCTATTTTAGTTAACTTTACATTTAGCTTTTCACTATTCCTCAGTTGGTTATCTCTAAAGATATAAACAATTACTTAAAAAAATCACAGAAATTTAAAAACAGAAGTTTGAAATTTCTTAATCTCAGATTCTGACAGATAAACAAATCGTAATTATTTGTAGCGCCACTAAATTTTGTGTGAAGCCAGATTTGATGCCCACCCAGTTATCTAGTTTGCACTATTGTGATCAAAATTTTAAAGGTCTTGTTCTACATGAATTAGGACTTAAAGCTTATACTATAGTGACCAGAACTTCAGGTTACCCAGTCAATCTTTGGATAATTCTTGTTCCGTCCTGCTGACAGATGATTAGCAGGGATAAAGTGCTCTAAACCGGCATCTTATGCCAATAGACCACAGATTGCAACAGGTTCCTGAAGGTGGGCCGGCACAAAAAGGGATTCAGGCGCTTTTTTATGATACGCACAACTAGGCAGGTATTTTTTTAGTTTGCAAAGCGATAACCCTAATTGAAATAACGATGGCACAAAATAAAAGTGCCCGCACTTTGATAAGAGATGCATTTTTCAGATTACAAATGCTGTTCATAAGGGTGCGAGAATATGTATGCCGAGACACTCTTGTGAATGTTTCTGTCTTCTCAAAAGCGGCTGACTTGCATAAAGGCGCCATCACTGAATGTGCAAAGAAAGAAAAGAATGCATAAAATATGAATTTATATTTTTTTGAGATGTTTCGTAATTATTTTTGAAATCTACTAGCAGTTTTGTCCATTATTGTTTGGTTTTGAGAACATCACTTTCACGCTTGTTGCAAATATTTAGAGAGCAATTCCCTCATAAATTAGGAATCAACATTTTGATTCCAGTATCAGTGACATTCATTATAGATCAACTGTAATGGTAAATATTAAATCATATCTGTCGTTATCTCATTTTGTCTCACAATACACAACAAAGTCATACAAATTCAAAAATATTTCATACGTACCTTTACTTCTCGCAAACTCATACATTCATCCCAAGAATAATATTTTTTCTTCATTCTGTAAAATAAAAATTGAGAATAAAATACAAAAATGTGACTGGCTGCGAATAGAAAAAGTCACACAAAAATGTAACTGGCTGCGAATAGATCAAATTAAGTGTTTTCATCAAAAATGTTTTAAAATTATCATATTCTTAAACTAATAATACCAACTGTTAAAACAAAACCAGAGAAAAGGGTGGAGAAAAAACGTGGAAAAAACATTGTCTGAAAAAACGTGAGGGGGGGGGGAAATTGCACGAGGGGGAGGTAAATTTGAGTTTTGGGAATACAACAATTCCTCGCTTCGACTATGATTCTATGACACCCACATCTGAAAGTGGTTAGTATTTCTAACAACGTATCAAATTCTAGTACTGAGCATCACCTCTCTTAAAATCATCATTTCTACAGAAGACAAAATCATCTGAAACTGTAGACGTTCTTTTCAGATACCACACTGTACTGTGCTTTTACAAGTTACACTGTACTTTTGTTTCGAAATTTATTCTACAGTGAGTCTTTTCACGGCAGTTGTGTCTCTAAGACAACCCTATTTGAAATTTTTTTTTTGTGTTGTGTTTTTTAATTATGGCAAAGCACACTAGGGCTATCTGCCTAAGGGGAGGGATGCCTTCGTGGAGGACTTTCTAAGGGAAACTGGCTCGTATACACGTTACACATGGGGAAAACCATGAAAACACCCATGCAGCCAGCCCGTTCGCGGGATTCGAACCTCGGACCGAACTACCAGTGTTCAGCGACTTTACCGCTCGGCCGCTGGTGGGCCCTATTTGAAAATGAAAAGTATTTCTGAGAACATAAAGAAACATGGCATTGAATATCGCTTCTCTAAGATAGCCAGCTCCGCAGAACAGTATATTAGCTTTTTGACATGTATTAGCTTCGCGCAGAATAAAACATGTTAAGATGTTCTTTTGAGGAGTACTAATTAATCTATGAAAAACAACTGAATTCTTAAATTGTTCAGTATTATTCTTTATTATCACAGCGTTCGGTATCTCAAAACTGTATCGGATCCTTTCTAAATCGTATGGAAGAGATTAAACTGTGTTTCCATATGATTTGTGCGTGGAGATGGTCTGCTTAGAGAAATTACATAAGCCTACAAAATTTGGACTGTGTCATGTTTTTTTTACTTTCGTTAATTAATTGCCATATAATTTATATCCCCGAATCCAAAAATGACGTTCGCTTTTTCTCATCCCACTTCAGGGTGTTGTAGAAATCTCAATTTTCAAAATTCGCAAAAAGTCGAAAAACTGCAAAAATCTGACATTTTTAAATTAGATATAAAAAGTTTTTTTCCTTGAATTTATTCCTTTTTTAGCTTATACTAAGTTAATATACGTAAAATGCGCAAGTTTATTTCTTGCGTCGAAGTTTTCCGTTGACCTGTCATGCTCTGATGCGTGCATGTTATGCGCTCTGATGCGTGCTTTTATGTTCTTGATGGGTTCATCTCGGTGTAGCATTCAGCAGTAGTCAGTCATCAACGAAGTAGTCCATTTTCCTTCATATCTCCTTTTAATTTCTTTGAGTCTTGAGGAAATCTCTCACTCAATAAATATATATTATATAATGTTAAATGAGCTCAGCGCGAAGTTGAATTTGTACAATTCGCTGATGTTCTTCTAAACAATAACAGACCGCTATATACATAGGGAGAATTTGATCTCCCTATGTACTTAGCAATCAGTTTTCTCTTAAATAAAATCAGAGAATTGCACAAATTGGGAACTGCGCGCACAAAACATATTACGCTCATTATACACTGCCCTCCAAAAGTTATGCAACAGTATATTTTTCAGAGTTCACCATTACAAAAATGTCAATAACATTTAAATTCCCAGTTCATATGCATGACAGTAACGAAGTTTAAGAAAATGTATGCAAAAACAGTAGCTACCACTTTTATTTTATAGAAATGAATACTTTTATGTAGGAGTTGGAAAAAAATGCAAAAATTGTAATTTTTGTTCATGAGTGTTGATCTTTAGCTGTTATTACAGTTTCGTGGATAATATCCAGGGAAATCTATCAGTGTTTAGGAGAAGTTGTTTGCCCGATTCATTGAGGTGGCGGGCGATCGTATGGATGGAAATGGGAATGCTGTTAGACGTCTCAATGTCTCTCGTAGTGTGGCTCACCGACTATGGAATCAGTCTGAATTCGAGGATTATGTGTCTAGAAGACATGTTCCAGGCAGACCTAGAGTTACAACACCTGCGGAAGACCGTTATTTAGCACTTTCGGCCCGAAGGAGGAGTAAAATACCGTGAATCAGCTCATGGCAGATCTTTTAGTGCCAACAGGAACAAGAATCTCAGCTACTACAGTGCGCAGATGCCTGCACAATACAGGTTTGTATGCAATACGACCAGTTGTTTGTGTCCCCTTGACCTGAGGACACAGAGGTCGACGTTTATGTTGGGCAAGAGAACACGTCTCCTGGACCAGTCAACAATCGGCGTCTGTTCTCTTCACAGACGAGTCCAGGTTAACATTGGAAAGGGATTCAGGTCGTTAGCTGATCTGGAGGGAACAACGCACCGGATACAAGCAATTACAGAGGTGGTGGAATAGTGGTTCGGTCTGGGGGGATCTTTCTCGGTGGTCGCACTTTGGAGGAACTTTGAATGGTGTGGGGTATCGAGACGAGATACTTGATCAATATATCCGCTCATATGACGCTGCTATTGATCCTGGATTTTTTCTGATGGACGACAATGCAGGACCGCACCGAGCTCGGGTTGCTGAAGAATATCTTGAGTGTCACGGTATGGAGCGGATGGAATGGCCAGCTATATCCCCAGACCTGAATCTGATAGAGCATCTTTGGGATTCTCTTGGGAGACAGGTTGCTGTTTCAAGTCCTCCTCCGATGTCGTTAGATGAGCTTGAATAAAAATTACTCCTTTTCTGGTCGTTGCTTCTCATTTCACTGATCGACAACTTCATTGACAGCATGGAGCGTCGCTGACGCCAATGTATGGCAGCTAGGGGTGGAACACATTCCTTATTAGAATCCATTTCTGTAATGTTACCACCTCATTTTTCCTCAAAAAGCTGTGATATACTGTTTCTACAAGACAGTATTTCTCTGCCTAGAGTGCAATTTTTTGTTGAACTTTAGAAACATTCTATGCCGCAATCGTTAAAGAACTGTTTAATGAACATGTCCTGTAAATTTCTTGTTTCTATGTTGCTTCATTCTCAAATAAGACACAAAAAACATGCTGTTTCTTAAATTTTGGAGGGCAGTGTATATAAAATAGTTGCATTTTTATGAAGCTTTATGTACCGTTAAGGATGCCGCCATTTGCTTAAATTTTGTGCCAAGGTTTTAGCTTTAACTGGCGCTTCATTAACAGAAAAGTACCATATATCGCAGCACTAATTATAAAGTAATGAGTCTGGTTATATTAACTCTCCCAGGAATCTAGACGGAACTGATCTGTCTAGACCAGTGGTCCTCAACATATTTTGCACTTATGCTCTACTTACATCAGTGCTAGATCATTCATTTCTTTCTTACCAAAATTCGAAAAATACGTATACATTTATTTAAATTTAAATAATTTTTATTGTGTTTTATAAATATATACAACAAAAAGTATAGGATGAAATTCAACTTGCGTTTTTCATGTCTCGGAAGCGCGACTTAGAATATGTATTAGATTTACATATAGCACTGTTCTAATATAGGTATTTTGACACAAAATTGGACTTTTTCTCTGAAATGACATGCCAATTTTTTTCCATATTTCGATTCTACGACTCAAATAATGCCACACTCCCAAGTTTTGTAAAAAATCGCACGAGTAGTTTGTAAAAAATTAGCTTTCGAAATTTTACCTCCTCAGTGTTAATTTAATTTGGTATATATTTATTAATATCTCTTTTTTATTAAATTTATTTGATTCTTCCTTTCATATTTCGAAATTTAGGGTCATTCCAAATAAAATTCGCTATTTTTTATGATTTGTTTTAAAAATTTGTATTTTTAGATAATTAAAAAAAAATTTCGAAAACAAATTTGATTTATAACTTATAAAATGTTTTGCATTATCTTAAAGTAGATGTATTTCTAAGCGTATCTGACAAAAATTAGAGTTTTTTATTCAAAATTTCCTAAGATAAACGTGAATTTATATTTTGGCGAGTTTAGAAATTTGGCGTATTTATTATAAGCGATAATAACGAAAATGGGGTTTACGCACTCTGTAAAAGTATTTGAAAGTATGAAAGATGACTTTTTTTCCCACTCGTGAACAATGAAAAAAAAAAAAGAAAGGAAAATAGGTTGCTATAATCTAAGAAGTTCGCTAAGTGAATTATTCTTGGCGCAAACTGAAAAAAAATCCCCCAAGAAAAATTTTTAAATTTCACCATAAATTTCTCACCAAAAATTACAAAACTTAATAGTTGGGCATAATTTGAGTCGTAGAATCGAATTATGGAAAAAATTAGTATATTATTTCAGGAAAAGTCCGACTATATGTCAAAATACCTATGTTAGGACAATGCTATATAAAAATATAATATATATCATAAGTCGCGCTTTCGAGACATGAAAAACGCAACTTGAATTTCGTCAATCGGCCCAGTAGAACGGGAGATATAGAATTGTCATTTTTTTTTCCACAGTGTACATGTTTGTTTCAAGTATATTTTGAATCACTGCACACATTTTGCATTTTTGATCACTGCTAAGCTTACTCATATATTCTTCCCTAGGTTTTTCAGCATATAATTTAGAAGCTTCTCATTTATGATAGGTAAGTATGGATGGCTAGCAAAGTAGTATAATGCGTAAGTAGAATGAAGAGTATCAAAAGCAATAACTTAAACTAAAGTGTTTGAAATATAGAGTACTGTAATATTAGCACATCTGTTCTTAAGCGTTTTCTTTTTCTAAATCTGCCAACACTTACCCTTACCATTTCTCTTCAGAAGAACGTATAATTTCTTCTTTCAAATTTTTCAAAGGAGAAAAATCAGTAAAATTAGAGAGGAATAAATGTGGTATTGCCAGTTATTGTACGTGAAAATTAAATGAATAATCATTTACGTATTTCATAAGAGATCATTGAAAAAAAAAACATTGAAATCATGTTCAAGGAAATCATGTGTTCCATCAATATTGAAATATCAGATTACTATCAGATAGTTTTCTATAATAGACAGAGAAAAAAAAAATTACCTCAGTTTCTTATGAGCAACTTCATTTCAGGAAATTATGTTATTTTGATTATTCGTATAACTGAGGATAACTATTAAGCATTAGTTAAGAAAGCTTCTTTTATTTTTATTATCTTTTAACTGTTTTTCATTTCTGTGTAAGAAAAGTAACAGGAAATTCATTTAAGTAATTTTATCTTTTAAGCAATTAAATATTGAAAACAAATCGGTTACAAAAATGGGTCAAGGAATATTTTCGAGTAATACAAATATTAAGGTACTCGAGACAAAAATTGCTTCTTTTTTTTTGGTAAATAATTAATTTTTTTAGCTAAATATTATATCGATAGAAAATTATTCTCGATTTACAGTATACAATAAAATTTCCAAAAATTCGTCTTCGTCAAAAGACTGAATTGATGTTGAAGAAGGAAGCTAAAATCGGAATAAAACTAAACTTATTACAGCTAATTAAATAATTTTCTAGGCAGCACATTCCTAGATACCCAATTTAATTTTTAAACACTTACTGGCATTAACATTGTACGTATTTATTGCTGTTTACAAATCTAATCTGAATGAAAAAGTATTAATTAATCAGAACTATAATGCGTTTGAAAGTTAATTCATGGTTGAAATTTCTATAGAAACCACAGTAAAAGTTCCACTGCTAAAGTCATAAAAGTTATTTTACTTTGATTATTTTTTTCTTTTATTACTAATGGACAAAAATTGTTAACACTGTACAAATATTTCGCTTATAAACGGATGATATTATTTCTGAAGAAGGCATAGATGTCTGCGCTTATAAAACTTGAGAATAGGATAAGTAAAAATAAAATTAATAGAGATAAAATTTGACAGCAGAATTATCTAGCCGAAAAATTAAGGCATCGATACATTGCAGGTACAATGGATTTATCTGAATTTTTCTCTTTGAAAGAGAGTTTTAGAAACCACTTTCATTCACATTTTATGAAATTTTAATGATTTCTTTCTATATATTAAAGTACCTTTTGATCGCAACTTTTTCTCCAGTGTCCAACCGCTTACCGAGAACAACATCACCATACGTTCCATCACCTAAAGGACTCAGAGTCACGTAGCGATTCATAGCTGCAGAGCTTTGGACAGGCCATCAGAATCTGAAAGAAGTAAAAAATAGTAGTTAAAAACTTCTGCGTGCACCTTTCCTTTATCAACGATAATTGACGCACGGATATGGATGAATAATCCAGAAATGGCGCTTAAATGCTGAAATTAACGCATCCATACCGTAAAAATGAACTCTTCAGTAGTTTCATACGAATAGCCTACACTGTGATATTTAAAATAGACATTCATAAAAATAATGATAAAAATTATGTATTGTATATCCTTCCTCACAAAGAACTGTCGCATTCCCTTTCTTGAGAGCTATGTTGTCAAAATATCAGAAATACAGAGTAGAGATGTAATGCCATTAAAATAGAATTCATTTATTTGCTCGTACTGTGTAATAACATTGTACAGACGTTTTAAGGACCCCATTGTAGCTACATTCGCTATTCAACTGATGACACTACCAGAGCTTGCGATGTTGGTTGCAGCAAACAACAGTAGCACCTCGGCAACAGAATGGCATCATGGGCCTTAGGAAGACAATATTAATCTGGATAGACAGTACAATAGGCTTTTACCTACCTCCTCAGGATAAATAATAGGTTGGCCCCTGAACTTATACTAACCTATTCATTAATATTCATCAATATTTTCCTCTACACGCTGTCGCGTTGGTTTTTTTTAAATCGTCGCATCAGGAATATTCCTTATTTCATAAAATTCTATATCCTTCATTATTCTTATTGCTTTCCATCCCCATTTATATATTTTCTTTCCTTGTATTTTCAAATACATAATCACAAGAAATAATTTCATTGATGCCCGATAATCATTGACGCATTGATACAATATTTCGCGAGGACGAATCTTTTCCTTCTTGTTGACAGCGTATGAATCTTATAGAGAAGCATCCAGAAAGTTCTGTTATGCAGCCAGTACAGAAACAGAAACTGAAATTACTTATTTTATAATTTCTGGAATTTTACCCTGTTTTGCTTTATATTTACAGAGTATTCCTTTCTTGGTTCAGGTTTGCTCAGTCAAAGAGTCAGCAGAGATCCGTATATGCAAGTAAGAGTCTGTATATACTGTATAATTTCTGTACTGTATAATACTGCACTGTATAATATAAACTGTATAATTTACGTAGTTTATAGGATGTCTAAGTTCTCTTTGGTATATTTGATTATTTTTATTACGCTTAGTCAAACTCCATTCTTCTCGGTGATGTGTTTCACCTTTATACTCTGACATTATGTGTTGCAGGCTGCGAGAAATGACGATTTTGAGTTAGATGCTATTTGAATAAATAATGTGAGACATGTCCTGTTCCATTACATGTACAATTATTGTTATCTCTGAATCTGATCCCACACAGATTATGAAGAATTATCGCTTTCCTCCGTACCTGCTCTCGGGGTGTACTTGGTTAACACAACCGGCTGGTATATGGAAGATCCTTGATTTAAGGGCTATCAGAAACCCCTATACCGACAATGTTAAATTGGCCATTTTCGATGTACCTTTTCTCAAAATCTGCTGGAGTTACAAGCTTGAAATTTTATTCTGTAATTAAAGTATACCTATCTGATTATACTGAAATGAGCTTTTGAAACATTTTGAATTTTAGAGTAAATTACAGAATATTTCGTTAGGCTTAGTAAAATTTAGCCCTTTTCTCACAAAAAAAAAAAAAAAAAAAAAAAAAAAAAAAAAAAAAGAGTTTTTTTTCTAAGTTTATTACAAAAAGCTCATTTCAGTAAATATTAGGGAACTTAATAAATAAGCCATAAAAAGTTTAGGTACCTGTGAGCAGTAGTTCCTGAGAAAAGGTACATCGAGTACAAAAAAATCACGTTTGGAGAAAAACGCGTTTTTATGTAAAAATCCTCATTGATCAAAGCAGTAGATGACAAATTAAAAACTAGATTTTTTTACAGTTCTAATTTTCATAGAGATTAAAGAATGGTATTTTTAGAAAGATAAAAGTGTAGAGAATTTGAAAATGCAAAAATCCGAAATCATTATTTTTTGAAGATTTTGGGGTTCCAACACCCCTTAAAGCCCGGTACGATATTGTTGATATTTCGTACTTTTTACCCTAAATAACCTAATTGCTCTTCAATGGCACCTAACTAAAAATGTGATAGACTCTAATTCGTTGCTACCTGGATTTGGCCGGCTGTATCTCGTTCTTCTCTTCCAAGTCACTTTGCTCTTTCAGTAGGAAAAAATACAAGAAATTATTACTTTCTACCATGCGTGTTGTAACCGGTAGCGAATGTAATTGGGAACTAGAAAATCAGTGGTTCAAATCCCGGAGAAAATAAAGTCACTCTGATAAACTTACATTTGTTGTAGAGGGTATGTAGAAATTGAGTAGTGTTACATGTATGGCTCCTTGGTATACGAGCATTGTATTTTAATTCCAGAGACTGCGATTTTCTTTAAATGCCTTATGTGACTCGGCCGAAGGATGACAGGATCTGTGATTTTGTTGCGGATAAGGCTTTCCGGATCTATACGTATTTGAATGTACGACCATATGCCACTTAAATCTATAAAAGTCATCTTCCAGTATCTGGTTAGCCTCTTTTAACAGCATTCTCAGTAACATCTTGGTAGCTATAACTAACAGGAAAAATATTCTAATTAGCGACAAAAAGTAAAGCATTTCGTTCAGCTTCAATCAGCAATGATTCTTTCTCAGTTATTGAACATAAATAAATATATTTCCTTTCATGTACTACTGTATGCCATATTACATATCTACGAATTAAATCTCTATTTCTTGCATACTCTCCGCTTTTCTTCAAATTTGCGCATCTCCTCTTATTTCCACCTTCACATTAAATTATATCACTTTACAGCATAATGTCTTAATTCGTATGTATAAGCAGTTATTCAGACGCCTTCTATCGCAAAAATTTTTTTCTATTATCAGTCTCAGAATTTTTCGTTCGGAAATGCTGCTCACATAATCAGGAGTTCATTGCAACTGGGCAACTTCTTACGGATATTCGATTTCCGCAGTCACCCTTTAAATTTATTTAGGATTTTAATACAGAAAAAATATAAAAAATATTAGAATAATTTCTTGTAGAATTCAATGGATTTTATATAAAATTACGAGATCAAATTAAATTAAAGATTATTTACTAGTTAAAAAAGACATGAAGGATTTATTCTCGTTCTGAAAAAAATCAAACAAAAATAACGTTCAAAATAATTATTTTCTAATATGATTTACTAATCTGGCTTCTGTAATTCACAGCACAAACGTGGATTACTATAAAACAGTCGTACCTAACGGTGTCGGTATTAGCCCCCTGAGGAGGAGGAAATTAAATTTTAAAGGTGATAAATAATGATCAAAAGGCCTGACAGCTGAATAAGCACCGGTAGTTGATAGACATAATATCGATCACCCTTTGCAGATAATAACTGCTTGCAGAAATTTATAGACTTTTTCGATACCGAGTTAGAATTCTTTCATAAATCTGACAGCACTATTGCGACGAAATAATTAAAAAAATAAGCCGTAGTATGCCAAATATTGAAAAATTGTACGAATATATCGAGTGCACATCACTTAATTAAAATTGAACTTTTAAGCAGTTATAATCTGCTTTGTTTCTGAAAACTTGTTTAATTAAAAATAAAATAATAATATAAAAAATAAAACATAACTCTCATAAACCATTTTTTTCAAAACTTTTATTCATGTTCTTGACCTTTTATTCATGTTTTTGTTATCTTTATGTTATTTTATTATGATTATATTGCATGATGCACGATATACAGAAAAATGTAAGGTGTAGATAATGAAAACCAATTTTTAAAAAGATGTTTAATGCAAGAAAGGGTTGGGAATGCCTGCCTTAATGTGTTAACTTCCGATGCACAAACAGAAACCCTTGGCTCGCAATTAAATAAATGAAGCTGATTCCTATAAAAATACTGGGAAATGTTTTACATATTAAGGCAAATAATAATAACACTAAACGTACAGTATAAATAAACGTATCTAGACTACGTGAATTAAGAATACAACAGTTAAATGCTGTTGTAAATTATAATGTTTTATGGCTTTCAGCATATACAGCAAAGGAATTAAGTAATGTTATACTGAAAATGACATAAATAATGAAAGTTAAACAATAATTAAATTTTATATTTCGCAGTGTTATTAGTAAAATAGAATATTTCAATAAATGTTCATATTTATAGAAACGTTACATCCACTTTCGGAAACCTTTAAAGATAGGTTAAGTAACAGTATAAGGTGCGTTTTAAACAAGAGGTATTTGCAAACCTTTCTACTCAAACTATTTTTGTAGCAAAATTATTTACATTAAACATATATCTAAAGAATAATAAACACAGTATTTGTTTCTGTTGATAGGAAAACAATCCATTAAATTATTATACGTATTTCAAAAAACGTAGTTTTTAGAAAAAATCTCATTTTTTAGCAGCTGAAGAAAATTGCAAATTGCTGTTTTTGTTTGTACCCTCTCACCGTCCCCCCCCCAAGAAAAAAAAATCCCAGTCTTAAAACAGAAATTTGTAGTTAATGCAAGGCCTATCAGACATTTACTTGATCTCTCAAATTATAAAAACATATTTTGGTATTAAAAGGACCATTAAAAATTGATTTAAATGGTAAGAGTTTGTTTTTTTAGATGTCAAAGTTGGATATTAATTTCACTAAAAAAAGTTGTTTTCACTTCTACTTTCCTAATATTTTTCGTTTCAGTAAATTATGCAATAAATGTGGCAAATAAAAAAACAAAAGTACTGATGAATCAAACCACAGACATGAACCAAATTGGAAAATATCTTATTCTGAAAGGGAAAAAAAATAACAAAACTTTGAACATCGTTAGAGTATACATTCAAAATGTGAGTCTTTCTCCTGAATCTTTGCACGAACGTATTTTTCTACGTTTGAGATCACTTTCTCAATGTACGAATCCTTATTTTTTTTAAATTTCATTTTCAGAATCTAGGGTTCTAACCGAGTAAAAGCTGAAATCAATATTCTTTAGGCTCTACGAGACTGACAAAACGAATTCTCTCCAGTCTGAAGTAATATAATAAAGCCTTACGAAGTTTAAAATAACCCTTTATTAATTCTTTAAATTTAGCGAAAGACACTCATTGTGCTTACAGAAAGGAAAAATATCCCTTCCACTTGCGGGTATTTAAAATAACAAAAGTTTAAATTCATGTAACGTAATAGGAGACTACACAAAGTGACTAGTTAAGCTGTCTCAAATAATTAACGGCGTGATTTCAACGTTGACTAGCAAAATTACTAGCCAGAATAATCTTTGGCAGAGCTGACGAAAGGACATAACTGCAACAGAGGGCACCAAAAGCTCTAACTGTAAAACATTCAAACCTTCAGCATAAATACATTTACATATAACTAATTTGCATTCTGGTGCGAACTATGGTCAGAAGTTATAGTAAAGGTTCAAATCCTAATAACTGTTAATTAACATAAACCGTACAGTCCGCTTGAAGTTCATCAACAGAGTCAAGAATGCTTGCATAAACATGTGCTTTTAGGAGAAAGAGATGCGCGGATGACAAATTCAGGGACACTGGGAGGCCAGTCCTTATGAAATGAAGCAGTCAACAAAAATATCAGCGAAAAATTACGTTGTCTCCTTAAACGAATGCCAGATTGCTCACTAGACCATGCTGAAACCAAAAAAAGCGCTCCTCTTCTTTTCAAGCAGTGTAGGATGATGTCAACATGCCCATTTCCATCTAAAATCATTAAAAAAGGGAAGGAAGGCACACAATATCTGGCATATATGTAAAGCAAACAATTTTAATGAATGTGGAGATGTCTTGTGAAATACACAAACTTTACTAGCTCCATATTCATGTTTTTTTGGCTGTTGACATAGTCACTTAGACGAAACCAAGTTTTGCTTGTAAAAAGCACATAATCAAGAGTTCCTACTCCAATGATAAACAACGCACAACAGCTTGAGCTAATCTGATGCTTTTAGTTTGTCAAAAATACGAACACACTTTTATGGATGAAGATACTTTTCCCAAATATCATTTGTGTAATCCTCGTCATTAATTTGATTGCGTTGTCAGCTTTCTCTCATTCTTAGCTACTTCGTTTCTTATTGGTAAACGCTTTGAGTTTCTTGAAATCAGATTACCAAGTAAAATATCATTGGCTTGTAAGGTTCATGAACGTTTGGGATGGTTTTTTAAAAGCTTCAAAAGCTTTTCCTGAAGAAGCGTAGCGAAATCATTCTCAGTCATAAAAATTGATTTTGCTTTTGAAATGTTCATCTCCATACTGCATCAAACCAATGGTTTTTAAAGTCAGTAGCCTAAACTGGAACTGATATTTCAAATGAGATATTACTTACATGGTGTAGGGTGTTATCTATCGAACAACTTGCAGTTAATGGCCATTTTGGAATTTCGACTAATTGTTGAAAGTTTCATGCGCGTAACCTTTTCTCCATTAAAAAGTTCAATATGGAATTTTTGACGTACTCAGACATTCCTTCTAAATATTAAGCTGATGGATCAGATTGGAAGTTTTTAAAAGTTTTTAACTATCGTTTCACATATTACATAATTTTCTGTGTATGTACATTCAGAATTTCATGCTTTTTTTTTTTCAATATTTCGAAAGCTAAAAAATGCTTATATTTTACTAACAATTAGAGCGTAATGTTAGAAATGATAACACAAATGACAAAGAATTTGAAAATAAGTAAGAAAAATTACCTGTTACAGGGCAAGTTGGTTCGCAAATCTGCGTGAACTAGCGCGCAGAAGGATTCAGATGTCATTCAAAAACACACTAGAAGAACGTTTAATACCACTCTTTCACTCCAGAACATCTTTTAGATATAACGCTATCTTCAGTAAACAATAAAACCATTATATTTTTGACATTACTGACCGCATTATTAACTATGAAATTGTTTCCGAAAATTCTTGACAATTCTTTTCATTATTTTTTAACCAAATCCTAAAAGCAAAAGAGCATTAACGTCTCTCACGCTACTCGAAGATTGCATCTCTCTTAAAAGTGTCATTGATCCGTTATTTTTGAGGAAGGTACGATGATCTGATGTATATTTCTCGTTACTAAGGTAACTCAATCAATACACGCAAGAGTTTGAGAAGTTGTTCCATGTTTGCGCAAATCGAATGCTTAGTAACATTATTTACTAGTAGCGTAGTCAAAACTAGAATGACATTACCAGTCACGGCCACAAAAACTAAAATGAAAAATGGAACAAAATAGTAATAATAATTAGGCAAGAGGAACATCATTCCAAACGCTTTTACTTAACAAACAAAATTCTCAGGCATCTATATTCTTTCTTTTCGAAGATAATTAACAATTCCATTTGCTGACATACACTCTTAGTTTCTGGCAAGTAGATAATTTTTTACAATACAAAATAAGCGCAGACTATGTGGCTGGCAAGGAATATTTTTGTGAAAGACTTTCTAAGTGAATTTGTGAAATTAGTAAACTATTCTGAGGCGGCGGGATTAAAAATTTCTTCGAACGAAAAACTGCTTATATATTATAATTAAAGTTTACTAGAAAGTTCATTTAAATATCTCTCATTCCAAGGTTGAAGGCTGAGATCTAGTGTCTCAGATCATTGTTTAATTCAAGACCTGCACTGGAAACTCGATTAACCATCACCCTGTAAGGTTTATCTTAAGTTTTTAACAGTTTTCTTCAAAGCTACTTCCCTGTCTCTTCTAATTTCAGCTTACAAATTTCCTGTCAGAGTGTGTTTTTAGAATCGCGGTTAATGCAAATGAAGGAAGAGCGGTACTTAAGTCGAAGTCCCATTGAATTCGTTAGAGAGCCAGAGATTCAGACTAGCGCGCGTTTGCCTTTTGGCTACACTCTCTCTAAGCTATTACTACGCTAGGCCGTATTGCAGGCCCTTGATAGTTTTGCCATTTAGTTAACATTTAGAGGCCAGCTCCTGTAGAATTTTGATAGCTTCGGATATATCTTTTTAGTTAAGCATTAGTTAAGTTTCTTAGTACTCTTGAGTTTAAGCACAAGTGGAGACTTTTCTATACGTCCTGAGAAAAGGGCCATCTGTTAATCCTTATTTTGAGCAATAAAGGGTAATTAACCCTTCTTGAGTTTACGTTTCTGTTTCCTGAGGTAAAGCGATTATTGGCTTACCAGTTCTCAAGGTTCCAAATGCATAGCTGTAAATTCAAGGTTGGAACCCTATAACCATAAGTTTCTATTATCAGTCACTCATTGAATCAGTGCGATAAATTAATAAATATAACTTAATAAAACTCCACGCGTTAAACTTCTTTGCGTGAGTGTGCGCGCTTACGCGTGCACACGGCAACAAAAAAGTGTGGAGCTAATACATAATTTTCAATTCAAATCTTGATTTTTATAAGGACTATACCATATCCTTAGCTAAAAATGGATCTTTGCTATTGACTCTGGTAGTGTATTCGGTGCTAAGGGTGGGAGAACTTTCTGTTATCCATCTAACTTATTTATCCGTCACGATAACAGTCTCCAGATTAATGATAACCGAAGTTCTGTTGTACTTAACAGTCTCGATTGTCCGACATGGGATTAAATGTTGTCACTCATCTCAGATAACATGTATTATTCAGATTATGGCAAAGCATGACTAGCTATTTCCGTAAGGAGAGTGATGCCTTTGTGGAGGACTTTTAAAGATAACTTGGATGCATGTTTGTAGAGTCATTAGATATTTATCGGAGCAGGAAACAAGAAAAATCACCAATTTCCTCTTTGGAATTCGAACTCCAGACCTCCTGATTTCTGGCTAAACGTGCTTCCACTTAGACCACAAATCACACAAGATTAAACACCATTAATCTTGTGTGTGTAACTGAGACACACAAGATTAAAGTCACGCTGAAAAGCGGGAGAAAAATACCTCCAATTAAAGGGTGATTGGGGAATATTTAAAGCCAAGGTCGAACTACCAGTGTTCAGCGGTTTGACTGCTTGTCCGCTGGCTAGTCATAACATTACATGAAACTGCAGAATCTAATCGACAGCCAAAAGTAAGGACGGCTTAGAATTGGAAATTTACAGCCAGCTTTCAAAGAAATTAATTTCTTAATAATACTAATAACTTGCTTATTAGTTACTTTTACATTTTGTCAATTGATATCGCCAAGGATTTTATCTGTTCTTCATTGCTTGAAAGTCTTATATTTTACACAACAGCAATGCTTTCCGAGATGTGTAGATGTTAAATGATGCTTCCAGTATTTCTTTTCCGTTTTGCTTTCAAACTTTATTCTGCCATGATGAGTGTTTACATGATAATTTAAAACAATGGATCACCTTTGAAGTGCAAAAAGACGAAGAAAGCTATCTCCATATGAAATGTGAAGTATAAAACAATTTCGTAGAAATACTATCAAAAATTATTAAATACTGATGCCATGTTGTGCTGCATACCAAACAGATCTTTTCTGAAATCTTTCTGGAATTTATTTGCCAGTGATTAAATTTTAAAAAAATCTGAAAGTTATAATGAAAATTCCAAGTTTTTGCATTCGTATCTTTTATAAGTTAAATTTTATAAATTCTCTGACGTTAGTGATTCGCATTATCATTTCTTCGAATGAATAGAATAAATCATAAAATTTTGAAAATGTTTTCATGCTCAATTTTAGATACTGTAGCGCAAACTTTTTTTAAAAAAAGACTTTTAGTAATGTTAAATCTAAACTTACTAATTCGAAATTTAGTCAGAGAAAGCCTGTTTAAAGATTAGAATTTTATGTTTAAAAAAATCACGCAACCAAAATGGATGTAACCTGAAAGCTTAACGTTTTTGATTCACTTCTTTAACTAGAACTTGGTAAGGTATTTTTCTCCCTTCTCCCTACATGCCTTCGTGGTGTAATCAGATGCATACTCGAAGCGTATTCGAGAGGTCCAGGGTTCGAATTGGAAGCACATTCGAAGCGTATTCGAGACGTGCAGAGTTCGAGTCCCGTCGAGGGCAATGCGCATTTTTCATGTCTCCTGCTTCAGGACTCTACAAGTGGCGCCCGAAATGAAAGGTGGTGGACGAGAATCAGACACTACTAGGATTTGGAAGCTGGGTCCTCTGATCCGCAGTCACCTTTTAAAAAGGGGAGTATATAAGGTATTTTCTCCCTCCTTTCCGCTTGCCTTCGTGGTGTAACTGAAAGCATTCTTGACGTATATTCGAAAGGTCCAGGGTTCAAGTCTCGGGGAGGGCAATGCACATTTTTTCCCATGTCCTGCTTCGAAAAAAAAAAAAAAAAAAAAAAAAAAAACTACAGATATACGGTCTATAAGTCGCGAAAGATTTAGCCACACAATCAAGCTTTTTGAAATATTCTGCATTATTTCCATTGTTATCAAAAGATATTTAAATATTTGATGCAAGCTTCTCTGTCATTAAATCCTACTTTTTAAAACGTAACCGCAGCTTGTCAAGAACTTTTACTGAAAATGTAAGACATGAATTATTGTATGAATAAAACTTTCATAGATAAATTAATAAAGAAGAGACGCAGACTTCTAGATCTTTCTAAAAGAGACAGAATGCACGCAATCTGCAGCTTAGTTGAAAGATTGAAAGAGGCTTTCATAACTTTTATCATAATGAAATACAGCGGGCACCGTTTTGTGTAATCACGTTGTTCACGGCTATTTTGAAAACATTAACCGAATGATAATGTTAAATGACGAGAAAAAATATCGTTTAAAAACAATAGATTTTAATTAGTTTAATAAAAATTCGACTAGAAGTGTATAAATAAGTATTTCACAGAATTTTTGTTAGGAAAAGCCAAAAGATCATTTAAGAACTGTTCATAACACTTCTGGAAATTGTTTGACCGATGCTATACCTCTAATCTTAATAGTTGGAGGGGGGAAGGCATCCTGTTGAGAGGCATCGTACATTCACTGAGACAGAACATGCTGATGTAAAATTTAAAATTAGGCACAAAAGCAAGCTTGATTTGGCGTAGATGTTTTCAGAGAAAATTATTTTAAGGATCAGGAGAAAACAAACTCTGCAGAATTTTTTTTGCTCCTGAAGAAGTGAAACCTGTGTCTGATCACCCTCAAAATCGATAGAGTTATTCAAAATCTAAACCAAACTAGTTTTTTTCAATAATTTTAAATGGTTGAGTATAATGGAAACAAAGAGCTGATTGACGATGTGAGCCTTTACTTGGCGACATTTTTCTGACGCTTTCCAATTTTTATAAACTATTTTGACTTTTGGCGACTTTACTTCTGACAAAATTACTATAATATTTTGATCATATTAATTGAAATCTTTATCCCAGTAAACGATGTATTGTCCATGATTTCGTGTAGAAATGGGCGGTACTTCGGCAATTCCATAACAATATCCGAATGATAACATTGACCGTGATCGCATAAAGCGGCGTCTACTCTAGACTTTTTGATAATTTTTAACATACATTCTTCACAGACAGCAAAAAGTACTTTAATCAATAAAAGGATGCAGAACATCGAGAAAACTTTGCAAGGTATTTTCTCCCTCCTTAATGCGTGCTATCTCGGGATTATTGTGGAACCACATCCCGCTAGCATCAGATGGTCCAAAGTTCGAATCCCAACAAAAGCTTTGTTCATTTTTCACGTCTGTTGTTCCAAAAGTGCTAGTGGCTCTACAACCTCAAAAAGAGAGGACGCGGGACACATGCCTGCTTACCTATGTTATAGATCAGGCGTTCCAGTCTTCCGTCATCTACCTACAACCTCAAAAATGAGAATTCTAAAGAGTGAAGCTCTAAGGCATAGAAAAACGCATTTTGCTTCAATAAATATATTTCAAATCGATTTCTTTTTTCTAATTTTATATTTACGAAGGAAAATTTGTATCCATATTCTTCATATTTATTGTCCTTCAACTGATACTATCATATTAACACTAACTCCTTTATTTTTTAACTCAAGTAGTAAAGCTAATTTTTTCTTAAAAGCAAAGCAATGGAATCTGAAAAGAACTCC